GTTGGCAAGATATGGAGAAACTGCTATTTGTGGGTCTCCTCAAAGCTCCCCTTATTTGGTCTTAACCACACAGCAGGGCACCCATGCTTAAGCCTTCTCTCAGGTAATAATAATATGCCTAGTACATCCTTCCTACCAAGCAGGCAAACATATCAAATAACTCTGAAACCTCACCTGTCTCCATAAACACTTCTCAAACTGGTAACAGAAAAGATGAAAACACCTAGCTTCTGTGCACAGAAATCACCACATGGCTTCCAACACCCAGGTAAAGTTCACAGACTTCATTAAAAACAACAAAGAATAACAAAAAAAAAAATCCAATTAAAAATGGACAAAGGATTTCAACAGACATTTCTCCCAAGAAGGTACAGCAATGGCCAATAAGCATATACAAAGATGCTCAATGTTACTAATCACTACGGAAATGCAAATCATAACCACACTGCCTCACACCCATTAGGATGGCTACTACAAAAAACAAGAGGAAAAAAACAAGCGTTGGCAAGATGTGGAGAAACTGAAAGTCTCGTACATTGCTGATGGGAATGTAAAATGGTTCAGCTACTGTGCAGAACAGTATGGAAGTTCCTCAAAAACTTAATCATAGAATTACCATATGATCCAGCAATTCCACTTCTGGGTATACCCAAAAGTAGTGAAAGCAGGAACAGGTATCTGTACACCCATGTTCACAACAGTGTTATTCACAATAGCCAAATGGTGGGAGCAATCCAAGTGTCCAGCGGTAGGTAAGTAAACTAATGTGGATATATACATATATAGCAATATTATTCAGCCTTAAAAAGGAAGGAAATTCTGACACATGCTGTGACAACATGGATGAACCTCCTTGAGTATCAATCATGCCATGTTAAGGAAATGAGCCAATCACCCAAGGGCAAATGCTGTATGATTCCACTTAAAGAGGTACTATAGTACCCAAACCCAGACAGAAAAAGTAGAATGGTTGTTGCCAGGGCCGAGCGGGAGGGAAGAATGAGGGGTTACTGTTTAATGGGCACAGTTTCAGTTTCACAAGATGAAGAGAGTTCTGTGGATCGTATGGTGGTGATGGTACTACAACAATGTGGATATACTTAATTCCACTGTACTGTACACTTTAAAAAATGGTTAATATTCCCTATGTGTACTTTACCACAATTATAAAAACTATGAAAATTAAAGAGTTAGAATTCCAGTTGCCCATGTATTTTATTTTATCCAGCTTGAGGAAAGAATGATGCTATGTAGACCTGTTTTTATTCTGAAATGCAAACAATACTTGTGAAAATTCAACTATATTTTTTTTCTTTAGGAGATTGCTTTGTAAAACAAAACATCTAATTTGAACAGAAATGAACTATATAATAGAACCATTAACAAAACTTAATAAGCATTTGGTTTAAAGAGAAAGACCTAAGTTGGGTCTTGGTAATAACAGTTTAATACTGATCAATGACCACTTTATTTTGTGCCCAGTACTGAGGGACAGACACCTCTTCTTTCCACCTCTACCTCCACCTCTACTATTGCAATAATTTCTGAACAAGTCTGTTATACAGGCTCCACACCACTACTACAGTGATCAATGATTTAAAATATACCAAGTGCTTATTCTGCCAGGCGGTGCTCTTAGGTGCTGAGGATACAGTAATGGAATCGGACACAACTCCAGCCTTCAAGGAACTCAGACTGGTCCAGGAGAAAGAAAAAACAAACCATGTAATTTCAGATAGCAGAAGTGCTACCAAAACCCTCCCCCAAAGCAAGAACAAAAAAAAACAAGGCAAGAGGCAAGGCCTCTCTGAGGTGACTAGTACTTGACATCTGACAAGTGACTCCCTGCACCTCTACTGTCCTAAGAATGGTTTACTGGAAAAGTCATGTACATCTAGAGGCTGCATCTACAACCAGCAAATATTCCATAATCTATGAGAAGTGACTTTATGTGGTATAAAGTATAAAATGGTGAAGTAACAGTGCATCAGAGATAAACAGTAAAAAGAGAAAATGAATTTCCACCTCCTTTGGCTAAGAGTAGTGTTTGTTAATCCTGTGGAATCAGAGAAGTCACACCCAAGGAAGGGGAGCATTCAGACGCTCAGTGAAAACCCTCTTCCAGGTTTTTTCAGAGCCTGGCCCCAAACTTCCTAATGTGCATTTTCTCACTCTGTCATTCTCTTCAATTCAATAATAGCTCTCCAGAGTTAATAAGGCTGGAAATGAGTCTATTATGGCAACGAACTACTTTACCACTCATATGTCCTGGGCAGCAGCAGTTTTCCAAGAAAACCAAGCACTTTGGTAATGCTCTTCCCTTAACTTCAATTCCCTCTCCACCAAATCTCTCACTGTATCTGCCTAACCAAGGTGCTATCCCTCAAAGCACATCTCAAATAGCAACTCCCAGAACTATGACATGAATAGGATTCCACCAGAAAAGTGGTTATCTCCTTCCCCAAAATTCCTTTCTCATCTTAAAATACTCAACAACTAACCATAACTACTTGTGTTGCTTTATCTAACTCCATGTTACAGGTTTCATAGGTGAAGAAGCAGGCTTATTGATTTATTTCTCATTTTCCAAAGCATATACTCATTATTCATGTTTATTCAATATACAGGAGACCCAAGGAGATTTACAACTTAGCCAAGGAAAAAAACTGAAGGTAGTGTAATGTCCTACTTGGTATTCTAGGCACCAAAATGCTGTGATTGAGTAGAAAATCCTAATGGCATAGTAAAGCAGCACAGACCTCAGAGCCAGGCTATGTTTAAGCTCAAGCTTTGCGACTAACTTGACATGAACCTCAAGGAAGTTATTTAGCTTCTCTAGGCCTCAGTTTCCTCATATGTAAGATACTGAGAATGTTGCCTATTTCACAGGGTTAGTGTGAAGAACTGAATTCATACACCAAAATTCACTTAGAACAAAGCTTGGTGCATAGTAGGTGCACAGTATTATTAACTGTCATGTTTATCATTAATATTTCTCCAGAAAGCAATCTCTCCACTGGTAAATGGAGAATATCAAGTGCTACCCTAGACTACTCAAATCCTTTTCAACTCAGGGATTTCATACTTAAGAGCCACATGACAATCACTATGAACTGACAAGGGGAAACAGGCTTAATAACTAGAACCCAGGGTAGGCACAGAAAGGCAACTGAGTAGAGAAATGTGAAGGAAGACATTTTAGGGAGGAAAGCTAGAAAGAGCAAAGGCTAGGAAGTTAGAGTAAGCATGGGACATAAAGGAAGATAATTTGGCTAGAATTTATGTTTTGAGCAACGGTGGAAAATAAATCTGATCTAACTGACTTTAAAAAACAATGGACTAAAAACAACTGATTATAAAACCTTGTTACTCCACCACTTGTGTTTCTGGAGTAGGAGAAAGAGTTCTAGTGACAGTTGATTAGCATCTACTCTAATAATCCACCTTAAGAACATTTCATACAACTATAAACCAGTGAGTTTTTGAATAAAAATTCATACAAAACCCAAGAATCTCATCACATTCTTCTAAAGCCAAGTGTAAGTAAATGCTTGGTCACCCTTATTTTAGAGGCATATTCTCCCTCTCTGTTAGTTTAAGGAAACTAAGAGCTAATTACTTTGATAAAGCTAAAATATTAAGAGACCACAAAGAAATTCAAACGGTAATCAAAAAACTACCCAAGAACAAAACCCCCGGGCCAGACGGATTTACCTCGGAATTTTATCAGACATACAGAATATGCTTGCAACTCCATATAAATTATTTACTGACATCAGAGAGGCTCCTAAGAAGGCCGCAAAAAAGTTTGTGTGGCGATGTTGATGCTAATTACTGATCCCCTCAGGGCTGCACAAAGATCGCCGACTATACCTTTTACTGTCTACTAATTTGGCAGGTTTTGTCTACCGGGTCCCCCCACTTGGAGGCATCTGCCAACTGCTGCCGACCTGGGTCAGAACCCTCCCCGTGGCCATCCCTGCCCCGGAGACCAGTACCCTGCAAACCCTTCCCTTGCAGGGCGGCGCGCACCGCCTCCCGAAAGCCGCCAACAAGGTCTGGATAAGTTGCGAGAGAAGCGGGGGCTGTAGGAGGGCGACGGGTCTTGGAAGGACGCCTCGAAACCTGAGCCCTACACTCTCCCGCTCTCCGGCCCCCTGGGCCTCCAGTGCCCAGAGGCTCCGCCGACTCTTTGTTAAGCGAGGCCGCGGTTCCCCAACCCTCGCTAGGCCCCGCAGTTGCCTCCAGTGCCCTCAAGGGGTAGCGGCCCCGCGTCCAGACCCACCTCCACAAACCTGCTGTTGTGACTGCAGCGGCAGCTGCTACTACCGCCGACCCAGAAAGATCCCACAGGCTGAAGTACGCACAGTCCAGGCCCCGTCCCGCCGCGCTCCTTCCTCTCCGCCCCCTTCGACGCCGCCGCCGCCGCCGCCTCTCGGCCCGTTGCTGACTGGGGGAGGGGAACGCAATCCTGACATGCGCAGTGGAGAGCGCGGGTCGAAGGGCGGAGCCTGGCGCTCCGGCTCCCGGAAGGCGCGGCGGGTCGGGACCTTAAAGCTGCAGAACACCTGCCAGACTCCTGCACTCTGACAGCGCCCTGCTGTCAGGTACGGAGTGTTCACTGCCCATCTAGGAAGTGGACCTGGGAGAGAAGGAAGAGCAGCAGTGGTAGAGAGCCGCCCAAAACTCCCAAGAGCTTGAGCGGGAACCACATGTACATAAAATTGCCAACCCTAAACTATGGTCTTTTGCAAATGCGACCTGTGCAACGTTTCACCGCGTGCCTCTGGCCACGTGGTCCCATGGAGCATGGCCACCTTTAGCTTCCGGGGCACTAGTGCAGCTCTGTGACAACTTGACTGAACCCTAGTGGAGATGGCTGGGATCGGCTAGGGCGGCTCTGGCCGGGATTATGTAATTTTCCCAGTAGCCCCGCCTAGCCTCCGCTGGCAGGAGCGGAGCAGTTCTCGCGCGGTCCCCTAGGTTGCGTCTCGTCCCCCGCCGTGCGCAGGCGCAGGCGGTCTGCTGGCATTCTTCGTAACGGATGGTGGAGGTTGCGTAAAGAGTACCTCGGCGTCACTTGAGCTACCTGGTCCAGCTGTGTCCTAGAGGCATCAGGGGCAGTAAAACTGCGGTGATCGCGCAGGCGGCCTGGCCGAAAGGCAGAACGTAGAGGTGACTCCGCAGGAGCGCTGGGCCGGGTTCTAGCCGCCGGTGCAGGTAGGAAGCGGGCCATGATGCGGTAGTCGGTGGGGCCCTGCCAGGCCGAGCGGTTACTCTTGGTTGCATGGCCTAGTCCTGTCTCACCCAACCCTCTAGGTCCGTCCTGTGATGACGTGCATCGCTCCCCTCGCCTTACCGCTAATCCTGACTTTATTAAAAACAGACTTTGTCCACCCAACGCCCATCTTCCTGTTGGTTTTCCGGATTGGAGTGATTTTAACGGTTTTTTGGAACCTTCCCATAAAGCTGCGAGCAAATGCCCACCCGAAGGGCAAAGTTAGAGAGGAAGCTTATAGTTTCCAGCAGGAAAAATAGAATATGGACGTTAGGATGAATTGATTCTCCTTGGTGGGGAAAGACTAGACCGGGATGGTTTAACAGAAGCAACAGCCTCTGTGACTAATTTTCTCTGAAGATTATAGGATGAGACGTGTTTTTGACCGATGTGTGTAAGGAACCAGGGGTATGTCACCATGATTTCCAGAAGTCTTACAGTCTGGTCGTTGTCAGCATGGCCTAGTCTAAAAATGGCAACAAGGAATGATTCCCCCAATTACTCCTTTTTCGTTTTTTAATTCCTGACCCAGTCGCCGAGAGACTACTGGGTGAACTAGCAGAGGGTAATCAAATCAGACTTGTTAGTACTTGTGTTCACTGCCCCAGGAGTCTCAGGACTGGATGGCCTGGCAGGAAGTTGTGTTTTTGAAAAATGAGTTGACAGGTGCAGCAGAGAGGCTTATGAGAAAGAAGGCCAAGGCACAAATGGCTTGGAAATTTTTAACCTAAATAACCTTGAAGGAGCCGTGTTAATAATGCTGAGTTACCTTAGAAATGCGTGCAACCTTGGGTTGCAAAGTGTTGGGCAATAACCTTTGATACTGAACCGATTCATTTAAGAATTTATGGTATTGTAGATATGAGATGTAGAATATTTATTATTCTGGAGCAACTTGCAAGAGTAGTACCTACTATTTTTGTCACCCACTCACCTTCCATTAGTACTCCCTGCATTCTGGCTTCCATTCTTACCACTTCCCTGCAGTTGCTAATAATGATTTCCTTATTAACATGTGGAAAGTTGGGGTTATATCTTACTTGAACTTTATGCAGCAATTGAAACTGAGCTGTTTCTAAGAAATATGCTTCTCTTTTGATCTCTCTGATGCCACTTTGACCAGTCTCTTTTTCTTTAGCCATCTCTTCTTCATTTTCCTTCCTAGTTCTTCCTATTATACCCACCTCTTAGCTTTATGATTTAGTTCAAGATTTTTAGGTGCCTTTTTTTTTTTTTTTAACCTAACTCTCAATACTCCCAGGAGATCTCATCCATTCCCACACTATCTCTTTTTCTAGTTTAGGCTTGTATCCTGAACTCCAGACTTGTATTTCAAACTACTTCCTTTTCTCTCTGTAAGAATCGGTTATAATACCTTTTAAGGGATGGTGTGAAAAGTAAGGTAAATGTCAGTCATCTAACATAGTGCTTGAAAACACTCTGAACTTCTCAATAGGACTAACTGTAACTTATCTGCACCCCTTCCACCCCCCGCCCCTGCCCCGTTTTCTCCTCTGTTATTGCTTTCCATCTCAGGGATGACTTTATCCAGCTCTTAAGCCAAAACTTGGAATCACTCCAGATCTTCCTTTCCCACATTCCCTATACCCAGTCACTTTATGCTGACAAGTACAATTCTTAAATATCTGTCAAATCTGTTTTTCATTCCCAATACCACTGCCATTCTAATTAGCTCAGCCACTTCCCGTTTTTCCTGCCTCAGGTGCCCTTCTCCAGTTCACGGGATGTATGAGCTGTCAGAGTTAAACTCAAATCTGGTAGCGTCACTTTCCTATTTAAGTACTTTTGTTGATTCTAATTATCCAGACTTCTTAGTGTGGTATTTAAATAAAGATCATCAAGATCTGGCCCTTAGCTTCATTTCTCCCACTTGTCTACAAACTCAGTGCTCCATCATACCAAAATCCTAACGCATGCTGTTTCAGGCCTCTGTGCTGTAGCAGTTCTTCAATCTGCAGTGCCTTTGCAGTGCAGGACCCATGCTTTGGTTTATGTTTCAAAGAACTTTTTATTGCAAAAGTGGATCATAGGAAAATAAAGGCAAAATGCCCATAATCCTACCATACAGAATGACTACTATTTTTATGTAGGTGTATGTCCTTCTCAACTTCTTCATATGTATTTGCTTCTGAAAAGACATAGTTGTAACTTCATTTATAACAATTTCTAATGGACAAAAAGTAAATTTGTTTTTTGTATGTACCTATAAATGTAACCAGTTTTAAGGTTTTCATGTCATAAGTGATACTGTAGCACATATCCTTGAAGCTGAATTCTGGTGCAAATTTATGATTATTCAGGAATCATGTACTTCTCTTGGCATATCTGATGTGATAACATGCTCAGCGAAGGTACATTTAATTAGATATAGTAGGATCATTTTATGAAAAGCAGTGAAAGGCAAAGGAGTTTTTAGATATTTTTGCAGGAACTGGATTGTCTTTGTGTTTTAGAAGGATGATAGTGATCTTTAGGAAGAGAGTTGAGACAGGGGAGACCATTTAGGATGATACTGTGTTTCTTCAGCAGGTGGTGATAACTTGGATTATCATGGTGGCTCTAGGAATCAGAGATGGAGACAGCCGGATTGATGGCTGTTTAGATTTCTTCAAAGAGAAAAGAAAGTGAGAAATTAGATACCTTGCTCTTTTCAACAAGACTGGAAAAATGGGATTGCATAGAAATAGAGAAATTAGGGTACCTGTTGATATTCAGGTGATTGTAAAGCAGGGGTCAGCAGACTACAGCTTAAAAGACAGACTGTTTTTATACAGCCTGTGAGTTAAGAATGGTTTTTACATTTTTAAAGGGTTTTTGAAAAAGAAGAACATTAACAGATGACTATGTGGCCTACAAAGTCTAAAGTGTTTACTGTCCGACTCTTTACGTAGGGGGTCAAAAAAAAGTTTCTAGGGCATCAAAATGGCCATGTCTGATACAGAGCTGGTGTTTAGGTAAGAGTGGAAGACTAAAAATACAGCCTCAATAGATTAATGGTTGAAATCTACTCTTCAAACTCCAACTCAAATGTTCTTTTTTTGGAAAGGCTGTCTGATGATTTTGTGGTCCTTCACATTTTCACATCATTTGATACATTTTGTCACAGATCCGATGTCATACTCTTGATTCAGAAACTTGTTTAGGTGGTAGAATACCTAGTGTTCTTTTCAGAAAGTTAGGGAATGCCAATATACTTAATTCCACCATGCACAGTAGGAACAATTCTGTTAGCAACAAAATTAAGTAAATAATATAAAACTCATAGCCACTGGCTTATATTTGAGAAACAGCCTGACAAGTGCTTCAGAACAGAGGCAAATCTGGAATCAGATCATAGCTCTGTGTCTTTTGGTAGTTGTAGTACTTAGCATCTCTGTACCTCATTTTCCTTATCTGTGAAATAGGGGTGTTAATAATGTTACTTTGCTCAGAAGGTCATTATGAAGATTAAATTAGTTTCTTTTTGTAAAGCCTTTAGGACAGTGTCTAGCACTTTGTGTTTTAAACATTTGCTACATGATGATGATAATGCTGCTATACACACACAGAAAGTTGATTTAAGTATGAATGGCTTTTCAATTTATATATTATTTTTGTTCCCATTAACAGATAAATAGTTGCATCTTATCCTTATTTCATTATACACTTCCCCAGTTCCTAAAGAGCTTTTTACAGGCTCTCAAAAAATGCTTACTGATTATGCTGTATAAATGGAACCAACTTAAGGAGATTGAATTAGTTGTCCAAGATTTTACAGATACCTAGTGACAGAATCCAGACTAGAACCTAGGCCTCCTGACCCTCACCTTGTTGTTTTTTATATAATGCTATCTGAAATGAATAGTATTAAATGAAAGAAAAGCAGAAAGGATTTGTAAATTAATTTTTTTCACTTTTTACAAAATTTGAGTATATGCAGTATATGTTGAATGGCAGTCCATTTAGGGTTTGTTGGTTTTTTTGACTCATTTTTAAGGTGCAATGAAAGCCTTCCATGCTTTCTGTATTGTCCTGTTGATGTTCGGGAGTGTCTCTGAAGCTAAGTTTGATGATTTCGAGGATGAAGAAGACATAGTAGAATATGATGATAATGACTTTGCTGAATTTGAGGATGTCACAGAAGATTCTGTTACTGAAGCTCCTCAACGAGTGATAACCACTGAAGATGATGAAGATGAGACCACGGTGGACTTGGAAGGGCAGGATGAAAACCAAGAGGGAGATTTTGAAGATGCAGATAACCAGGTGAGGTTCTTTTTTGTTGATTTCTTGGGAAATTGGAAGGCTAGTGAACTTGGGAACTTGGCCCTCTTCCCAGACATTGAAAGTAAAACCCAGATGGAAGACCTTTACTCTCTTCTGTTTTTATTTCTGCTTAGTAGGTGGAGCTCTTCCAAATGTGGTGTGTTCCCACCTTTTACACTAATTGAGGATTGAATTGTGTTTTTCTCCTCTGTGGAAAGTCTGGCTGGAGAAGGGGTGGAGAATAGATACCATGAGTCGGTGGGAATTGTAGAATTCAGTGTTCAAAAGCATGGAGAGTCATCATTTGTTAAAAATATGTAATATCTCTGTGTTCTGTGCTTGCTACTTACATGTTCTGTATATCTCTATAAATGTTGCTTACAAAAATGAGATACAATTGCTGGAGACGTTTGTAGAGGAAAACAGATTGTGCATCATTTTTGTAGGAGGGAGATACAGAGAACGAGCCATATGATGATGAAGAATTTGAAGGCTTTGAAGACAAACCAGATACTTCTTCTAGCAAAAATAAAGACCCGATAACAATTGTTGATGTAGGTATATGGGATTCTGAATTCTAAAACTACCAAAAAAATATCTTCCTGTCATTCATCCCAGAAATAGAGTTTTGTGACATGCAGCTGGTGTTGATGAAATAGTGGGAGCTGTATGAAAGAGTTTGACATCAATTCTTCTGATGAAACTCCACACCTAGAGAAGCAACTTCTAGGTATATTAATCAAGGAATGATGAAGAGGATAGCCATTGAATTTATTTTGGGGTAGGACTGAGAATCAAATTTAATACAAGGGGCTTCTCAGCTTTCCATCCTCATATTTCCTTGAAGGTTCTTTTACAAAGGTGATCTAAAAAACCAAAGTGGGCATATTTTTCAAAGTACACCCATATTCAGTGACAGCTCATACAAAGTATCTGCTTCTGTTTGTGGGTCCTCTCATTGTCCTTCATCCAGTGAGTTAGATTCCATCCTTTAGCCTCAGCCAGTTAAATGGAATGATTGTTTTTCTGATTTAGGTTCCTGCACACCTCCAGAACAGTTGGGAGAGTTATTATCTAGAAATCTTGATGGTGACAGGTCTGCTCGCCTACATCATGAATTATATCATTGGGAAGAATAAAAACAGTCGTCTTGCTCAGGCCTGGTTTAACACTCATAGAGAGCTTTTGGAGAGCAACTTTACCCTAGTAGGTAAGTACAGCTAGTTCAAGTCCAGCTGCCTTCTTGAGAGCCATCTGGTAAGAACTGTTCGCACCCCTCAGCGTAAGTATCTAACTACTTTAATAGACTGCTGAAGAGGATGCTTTTTATCTCTCTCAAGGATCCCTATTTTTTGGGGGGTTTTATATATTGATTAAATTATATTTATGAAATAATTTCCTCATCCTCATTAACCAAAAATTGATTCTAATTACATTGAGACAATCAGTGTTAGTCAAAACAAGTTAATAAAAGTCAGGCTGAAAGCAAGGAACTTTGACATTTTAGAAATGAGAAATCCCTCAACATTTCTACAGGTTCAGGATACTTTAGTTTCAGATCCACTGAAGAGGGATACACTGTGGACATTGTACCTGAGAGGACTCCCTGTAGCTGTGTAGTATAGGGAGTAAGGTGGATGTTCGGCCCCAACATTTTCAGTGAATCATACTAAGTGGTCTGATCCCTAGGGGATGATGGAACTAACAAAGAAGCCACAAGCACAGGAAAGCTGAACCAGGAGAATGAGCATATCTACAACTTGTGGTGTTCTGGTCGAGTGTGCTGTGAGGGGATGCTTATCCAGCTGAGGGTAAGTAGGGAATTTCTGGTACAATGTAGACCTTTCATATTTTGTCCAGCATAATTCCAGTCCTCTTAAGTTCAGTGTCTCATTCTTTCATGTTTGACTTACAACAAGGTCTAAAAATCATCTTTTTACTAACTAGAGTATATTTGAAGTGTATGATTCCCCCTCCAAAGTCTTTCCTTTATAAGTATAAATTGCAACCATTCTCCTGTTTTTTGCAGTTCCTCAAGAGACAGGACTTACTAAATGTCCTGGCCCGGATGATGAGGCCAGTGAGTGATCAAGTGGTATGTATGTATTCTTCCTGCTAGTTTTACCTGTACAGATTGAATTTTTAACTACTTAGAGCTTATTCCATTTCTTGACTGGATTCCCTGGAGTTTTAGGCAATTTGTGTCCCTTACAAAAAACAGACCCTTTTTCAACACCAACAGCCAATACTCTGATTACCCAGATAGCATCTAGGTGTCCAACAATTTGGTTAAATTCTGACACTACCTACTTGGGTGTCAGTGCCAGATCCCATTAGTTAAAGGTCTCAGTCCCCCAAGATTGCCCACATTTTAGATGCCAGTTGCAAGTCCTAGGCCACCATACTTCTGACCAGCTATAAATCCAGAATTCTCACGACTCAGTAATTTGCTAGAATGCTTCACAGAACTTAGGAAAACTCTTTGCTTACATTTCCTGTTTTATTATAAAGGATATATTCAGGAACAGCCAAATGGGTGAGAGGCATGCAGTAGGATATGGGAGTGGGGCGGTGTGCAGAGCTGCCATGGCCTCTGTGGATGCACTGTCCTCCTAGCAAGTCATTGTGTTCAGCAACTGGGAGCTTTGGAGCTGGGGTCCTCTTCTCAAGGTCATTGAGGTTATTAGCAGAATTCAGTTTCCCTGTGATTGTAGGTGCCCATTTTCTTGTTATTTGTCAACTAGGAAACACTCTTAGTCCCTAGAAGCCATTCTCATGTCCTTGCCACATTGTGTCCCCCATAAATCCTTTTACATTTTGATCTTTTCTTCAAGTAGCACCCAGTCCCTTCTGAGAACTCACTTGATTAGGTCAGTCTGCTCAAGATAATGTCCCTTTTGATTTACTCAAAGCCAACTGATAGGGACCTCTGGCCATATAACACCACATAATCGTGGGAGTGATGTTGGTTTCAGGGGAGGGTAGGAATCTTGGGGGCCATCTGAGAAACCTGCCTATCACAGTACCTAACAGGTGAGTTTTGTTGATTTTTTTTTTAAGCAAATAAAAGTAACCATGAATGATGAAGACATGGATACCTATGTGTTTGCCGTTGGCACTCGGAAAGCCTTGGTGCGACTACAGAAAGAGATGCAGGATCTGGTATGTCAAGTTCCAACTCAAATGTATGTAGAAACTATGCCTCTTTCTTACATAGACAGTTAGCTTCAGGGTAGAGTATAATTAATGATAATGCTTGAACATTGTTAATTACTGCAGTGACATAGGTCAGTATATCTTCTCTTAAGAAAAAAAAGTCTTTGCATGATAAGTCATCATGTCTTACTTTCAATTCTTTCTCTAGAGTGAGTTTTGTAGTGACAAACCTAAGTCTGGAGCAAAGTATGGACTGCCAGACCACCTGGCCATCTTGTCAGAGATGGGAGAAGTCACAGAGGGAATGATGGATATAAAGGTAAACAGAATAGACGACATGCATTTGCAGAGTTCTCTCCCTAAAATGTTCTCCATTTTATGACAATGCACTAGTTGCGTATTCCTTTCCCACACAGACATTAAAATACCTTTAAGCAATAGATTAGCTCTTCAAAAATATAATTTGAGTAGTCAAGAAGTTCCTCCCTCTAAATCAAGAGCAAATTGTTCCTAGGATAGCTCATGGGCTTTCAGGTTTCTTTAAAAAGCACTACAACTTTAATCCTTATCACCATGTCATTTAGTCAATTTTTTCATTTCAGTTAATATAGGAAAAGAGAGAGGTATAGAGCCATTTTTTTTCTGTCAGTTTTTACTGTTAGTAACAGAACATTTTAGTATCATAAAAATATAGAATAACTCAAAGATAGTTGTAAGTGTAAGTTCAAGGTGCTGTGTTTATGAATTATCCTCTTAAATTATTTTAGATTTTATCTTCTTGTTTAGAACATTATTTTGAGACATATTTTCAACTGCTATTAGAAGAAATTTAATCATTGATGTGTCTAAGGAAAGATACCCATTTTATTATAGGGATAGTCTGCCTTATTTAAGTTTAATTTTTTTAAAAGCTTGAGCCTTAATGCCATTGGATAAAAGCAAGGAGAACTGAAGGGTGACTATCATTATGAAAAAAGGGATATGCGTCAAACCCTACTTTTAAAAACAAATTTTCTTTTCTTTATTTCAGATGGTCCACTTTCTTACACATAATGCTGACAAGATTGAATCTGTTCATTTTTCAGACCAGTTCTCTGGTCCAAAAATTATGCAAGAGTACGTATGTGATAAAAATATTGAAATTAGTTTTCCTCACTAGCTTTCTGTGTTGAAACAGCTGCAAGGTATTTCTGCAATTTCCCTTAGTAAATAAATGATTGAGGGAAGTTGGTGACGGGCACCCAAGTTTTCCTTTGCTTTGACTGAGTGCATCAGGAAGGTAACTGAAACCCTGCAGGAGACAAGCCTCCCTCGTTTGCATGTCACTGCATGTACCCACTACCCCCTCAAGCAAGGAGAATGAGAATCTTATGGAACGGTGAATACTAAGAAAATGCAATTGCTAATTTCTTTATCCTTTGTGATCTGGACTCTCTTTCTTTTTTTTTCTTTTTTGTTTTTAATTTATGATACGAATCTGCCTGTGATGTTTGACTTGTGTTTGATTGTAAAGAAGTGTACATTTTGCAATTCATGGCCTTTTCTGGTTTTCTTTGAATAGTTGGGTGATTATATTCTTTTGTAGTATACTATGAGGCGCCCTGAATGCCTGTGAAATTTCTGTCTTTATAGTAATAGTATTCAAATGTACATATTCAGGGCTTGGGCTTACTTGAATTCACATCCTGTCTCAGGAAAGTTGATCTGGATTTTAGTTGTGTATCAAAATTACTCTAGTCTGTGGCTCTAGATAGTGTTGCATCATCCTTGCTTTGCTCAGCTAATCACACTGTGGGCAGTGTATCACATTGTGGCATCCATGGAGCCTTTTGTGGGGGTATGGAAGGAGTGGAGGGCTCATGGTTAAAGATTACAAAGGAATCTTTGGTGAGTTAGAACTAAATCATATATGCTGAAGTAGAGTATCTCTAAATTTATTCTGAGCCTGACTCTAAAATACTTCATTATAGGAAGATAGAATAAGAGTTGGAAATAAAACATAAAAATCCATCAAAACAAACAAAAGCCTTATTTAAAAGATGGGCCTCATACTGAGTACAGGCTCATTTCTGGCTTCCCAGGTGAGATGGAGTATATCCTGCCTGGAAGGAACATCACCGGAGGTGTTCAGGTATAGGATAAAGAGTACTTGGGAATGCATCCGTCAGACAGATTAAGTGGACTAAAGCCCTTTGGGTTTGGAGATTATATTTGACTTGGGGGTGCCAAGCCACATACTGTGCTGATTATTTGCAGGTTATCTGTTAGAAATCTAAGTGAATTGGTGACTTATGTACATGGAAAGTATCTTTCTTGTGTTCTTTCTGAAAAGACTTTTCTTTTATGACAGGGAAGGTCAGCCTTTAAAGCTACCAGACACTAAGAGGACACTACTGTTTACATTTAATGGTAAGTATTCTGTGTCCTGTCTGGGTTCTTTGTTTTGTGTGGGATGATCTTAAGGAGAGTATTGTTCCTCCTAAATGATAGCTATAAAAAACTAAATTAAAATTAACTCTATGCCTGCTTATTAGTTTTTGGGTTTCTTCACTAAGAGGTTCTTATTATAAGTTCTGATTTCTATTTACTGCTGCATTTTAGCTAAGAAACTTGTACAAAAGGAGTCTGTTAATTGAAAAAAGAAAAAAAAGTGGGGTGACCCAGAAGTATTCTGCCATTAACTCAGTAGGAAATGGCTTTGTTTTCTAGTGCCTGGCTCAGGTAACACTTACCCAAAGGATATGGAGGCTTTGCTGCCCCTGATGAACATGGTGATTTATTCTATTGATAAAGCCAAAAAGTTCCGACTCAACAGAGAAGTAAGACGTACAGCCTTTGTTATAAGTTGGCATCTTTTATATTTCTTTTCTCCCGGGCGTCAGTTGTCAAATGTTTTCTTTGCTAGTTGACTTGCAAGTGCTAAGTGAGAGCAGTTTTTATGAGAATACCAAATGGGATTTTGCTTCTGTTGGATTGAATTGGATTTCTTATGAAATGCTCTTTTTCTTGGGGAAAGGGTAAACAAAAAGCAGATAAGAACCGAGCTCGAGTGGAGGAGAACTTCTTAAAGCTAACGCACGTGCAAAGACAGGAAGCTGCGCAGTCCCGGCGTGAGGAGAAGAAGAGGGCAGAGAAGGAGCGCATCATGAATGAGGAAGATCCTGAGAAACAGCGCAGGCTGGAGGTAAGACTGTTCTTACTGCTGGGGTAAAACTAAGATGTATAAGGATGCCTCTTTGCACCGTATTGGCTGTTAAGATAATTCTGTGTAGGAATATACATACACAGCTAAGAGTTTAGCATTTTCTTAGCATTTGGGACATTTACTTAATTCGTAGCACTATAAAGAAGAATAAATAATTTTCCTGTTCAAATCATGGTAGATTGAGTCCATGGTCCTGAGAATGATATGAATTATCCCACTCCACCAACACAATCCAATTTTGAAATTTCCACTGTCATCTTAATAAGCCAGACGCTTAACTGAGGTAGAAAGGAAGGAGTTTTAATAGAAGTCAGCAAGCATGATGCCCTGTGGTCCGAATAAACTTGTTTTATAAAATTTTTAATTTGATTACAGAATTAGAGAATTCTAATAATTTTTGTTTGTATTTTTGTTTTCTATTGTGTACATAACTAGAGTTTCAAACTCAAATTTTTTTAGGCTCTAGTATATTTCAGACATCAGCATGTTCTCACATCTTTGCAAAGTAAGGTGCCATAGTCCATCCTGCTCTACAATTTTAAGCCTTATAATGCTGGTCAAAAGAGAGGAGGACAGCAAAGTTCTGGGAGATGTGAATTTTAATGAGAATAATCTCAAGAACTGAAGAAATTCTTAGAAGTAGAGGAGGCACTCTGCCAAGAAAAAGTGGAATGCTGCATGCACCTCAGTTGGTAGTAGAGTCATCCGTGGAGCTGAGTGCAGTGCCCAGGATGCCACAGGCCTCCTCTCATCTGATCCTCTTAGTTTTTTGTTTGATTTGGTTTAATTTAGTTGACGGGTATTTTCCCCCTGAAAATTGAGTTCTGTGTTTATGCAACCTTGATAAATAAAGATGGCTTTTTAATAAATACACTGGAAGAATCTATATGGAATCATTAATAGATAATGCCTTTCCTTTTTTCTATGAAAAAAGTTCACCAGTTCTTTCTGGGGTTTGAAACTACAAAACGTTTAAGGAAAGGTTGGGGCAGCCAGAATTTTACTTGTCAGATTGTAAACTGCTTTGTGGGTATAAACCATGAATTTTTTTTTATGACTACCACTTTGTAGTATCTAGGCCTGGGTTCTTGTGAAAAGATCAGTGAATTAAATAAGAAAGGAGGTGGAGAGGACTTTAGTCAGTTTCAGACTTGGGTGAATCATTATCCAAATGATCTGGACCTTCCTGCCATTGCTAGTATTTGTTTTGTTTTCTTACATATTGAATCTGAAAACTAAAGAGAAACATACATACATACAGATTACCTTAATCCTATCATGTAAAAATAGTATAACATAATCCTTCAGACAACTCTGATCCCTAAAGTTAGCCATTGTTAACAATATATAATTTATTTAGTTCTGCAACTTATATATGTGTGTATTAGTGTACAAAATCTTCTTCTTGATGTAGATAATTTTACATTCTGCAACTTTTTATATTAAAAACAGAATTTTTCCAAGTGTCTTTCCGTATTTGTGCTTTTTTATTCCGTGAGGAAAACAATTGTAGGAGAGAAAGAGAAACTGGCTACCAATAAGTAGTTCTACCAATTTATACTTTTACCACTATATGATATGAGAGCTCTTTTCTCACATCTGTATAGAAACTAGTGATCAATTTTTTAAATGTATGATCCTAATAGTTGAGAAATAGTATCTCATTTATTTTGCATTCTTGAATTATTGAAGGTGAATATTTTTTCACATACTAATATTAACATAAATTTTTCTTAAATATGTTAATGTAAATAGATTTCTTCTCTTAACCACTATCCTATATTCTTTGTTGGTAGTTTCACACATGTGTATAATATGTAATATGGGAAGGGATGAATAAAGTGTTGGGGAAAGAATGAATATGATGGAGGTATGGGTTGGAACAGCAGGAAAGGGACCTGTGGACAGTACTTTGATGATGTTATACAGCTGTCCCAGAAGACTATAGCATGTGACGTATATGCTGCTGGTGTTTGCTTGCTACTAAGTCCTCACAAGAGGCAGCAGCTGCCAAAAGGGGTGGATTCACTCCTGCCTCTGAACCCAAATGCAGAATGCATTTTCCCATACAAGCAGTGTTAACAGTGATGGCTCTATTCTTTAAGATCTTTATACTATAAATAGCACAGTTATAGATGGTAAACATTCAGGCTTATGCTGCTGTATATGTGCAGAGTTTTTTGTTTTCTAATGTTGGAACCTGACAGTCAGTAGTTCCCAAACCACCAATTTACAAATCACCCTTTGAGACATAATATATTATATTATCAAGAACTACAGATACTATGGGCTTCTGCTTTTCCTCTTCCCTCTTTTCTCATCCTGGAGGATTGAGACTCCTGGAGGAGTATATTTCTTAGGACATTTCTGCCCCTTAAAAAAAACCCTAAAAAAAATTAAGTTTGAGATTGCAGCTGAAATCAGCTTTGACAGATCTGACCACTAATAACCAACAGCGAAGTCATACTTTGAGTTGACCTTGAAGGCTTCCCTCAATACAGGTAATAATAACCAGGGACTTCTGCTACCCAAATAATGTGTTCGAAGCTTCTTTCTTTCCTTCTACATAACTTCCTAATTCCTAAATATAAATATAAAAAATCCCCGTTGAACATTATTAAGTATTGTGCTCAGGAATAACATATATGCTAAATAAAGATTTATAATTAATAACTGATCAGATAAGCTCTAAAGGTTTTTTGAACTGAAGTACACATCCTTGGCTGGTACATATAAATGTTATCGTGGAAGTTGGGCTAGCGTTTCCTGGGTATGGGAAAAATCAAACCAGAATAACAAAGCTTAAATGTAGTGTTTAGTTCTTTCTAACTTGAGATTTTAGTTACTTTTGCTTCATTTCAAGTTAATTTTTATGAACCAACATAGATATTAGCAATTGTTAATAATTATCTTCTCAGGTGTTATTTACAGTGTAAGCCTAAGTTTTGAATAGTAATATAAGCAGTATCTAGTTGAGATTTTTTTTTTAAACATGTGCTTAGAACTTAGTTTGTATTCCCTCTTTCTCTCTAGGAAGCTGCCCTGAGGCGTGAGCAAAAGAAATTGGAGAAGAAGCAAATGAAAATGAAACAAATAAAAGTGAAAGCCATGTAAAGTCATCCCAGAGACCTGAGTCCTGATGCCACCTGTAAGCTCTGAAATCATAGGAAACAAAAAATAGCAATCCATTTCTCATCTTAAGGTTCGAACTCTCACAAGTGACTGAGAAATCCCTATTTCATCATCTGTTCAGTTTTTGGAGTTGTAAAGAGGTTATACGTACATTGGAAGGACTCAATAATTTTCTTCCAGATAATCAAATTATTTTGATTATTTTATAAAAGGAATGATATATGAAATCTGTAATTTTAAAGTATTTTAAAATTTATAACATGAATTATCAGTGCTTTCAGTGTTTTGATGCTTGAAGAAATATCATGAAATTTATAGATACATAATGAGTGTTGCTTTTGTTTAAACTAGGCAGTTGAAATGGCTTTGAAGACTGTCTCTAAATCAAGATTCCACAAACAACTCTTGGAATTGCACAATAAACATTGGTGTTTTTCTTCTGTGTTTGCATTAAACTTGTAAAAAAGTAAACTTTAGTACACTAAATGTGGTATTGAAATTTCAGGAACTCAAAACAATGTAGTTCAGTATATGTTTTGTAGGTGGGAAGTCCTGATGGCAGTATTACAGGATATTTGTAGACTTAGGATACTTAACATGTACATGGAAAATTCTAGGGATAAGTAGTACAGGAGCACAGTTTTTTCATTACCTGATAACACGAGCTAATGACAATGTGAATGTTGTATTTTAAGTGGTTTTATGTTTTTCTTGATATAAAAAATGCATGGAAAATTAACTGCTTCACCTAGATCAGCTCAGTGGTCCTATGTGAAGTCATAAATGTTTTCCTTCATGGTTGCCACAACCTATTGGATGTTCATGGAGAAGCTGTATTCTCTGTTACAGCTGTGTCCCTTTGCTTCTAACTTCCTAATTCCTAAATATAAATATAAAAAATCCCCGTTGAACATTATTAAGTATTGTGCTCAGGAATAACATATATGCTAAATAAAGATTTATAATTAATAACTGATCAGATAAGCTCTAAAGGTTTTTTGAACTGAAGTACACATCCTTGGCTGGTACATATAAATGTTATCGTGGAAGTTGGGCTAGCGTTTCCTGGGTATGGGAAAAATCAAACCAGAATAACAAAGCTTAAATGTAGTGTTTAGTTCTTTCTAACTTGAGATTTTAGTTACTTTTGCTTCATTTCAAGTTAATTTTTATGAACCAACATAGATATTAGCAATTGTTAATAATTATCTTCTCAGGTGTTATTTACAGTGTAAGCCTAAGTTTTGAATAGTAATATAAGCAGTATCTAGTTGAGATTTTTTTTTTAAACATGTGCTTAGAACTTAGTTTGTATTCCCTCTTTCTCTCTAGGAAGCTGCCCTGAGGCGTGAGCAAAAGAAATTGGAGAAGAAGCAAATGAAAATGAAACAAATAAAAGTGAAAGCCATGTAAAGTCATCCCAGAGACCTGAGTCCTGATGCCACCTGTAAGCTCTGAAATCATAGGAAACAAAAAATAGCAATCCATTTCTCATCTTAAGGTTCGAACTCTCACAAGTGACTGAGAAATCCCTATTTCATCATCTGTTCAGTTTTTGGAGTTGTAAAGAGGTTATACGTACATTGGAAGGACTCAATAATTTTCTTCCAGATAATCAAATTATTTTGATTATTTTATAAAAGGAATGATATATGAAATCTGTAATTTTAAAGTATTTTAAAATTTATAACATGAATTATCAGTGCTTTCAGTGTTTTGATGCTTGAAGAAATATCATGAAATTTATAGATACATAATGAGTGTTGCTTTTGTTTAAACTAGGCAGTTGAAATGGCTTTGAAGACTGTCTCTAAATCAAGATTCCACAAACAACTCTTGGAATTGCACAATAAACATTGGTGTTTTTCTTCTGTGTTTGCATTAAACTTGTAAAAAAGTAAACTTTAGTACACTAAATGTGGTATTGAAATTTCAGGAACTCAAAACAATGTAGTTCAGTATATGTTTTGTAGGTGGGAAGTCCTGATGGCAGTATTACAGGATATTTGTAGACTTAGGATACTTAACATGTACATGGAAAATTCTAGGGATAAGTAGTACAGGAGCACAGTTTTTTCATTACCTGATAACACGAGCTAATGACAATGTGAATGTTGTATTTTAAGTGGTTTTATGTTTTTCTTGATATAAAAAATGCATGGAAAATTAACTGCTTCACCTAGATCAGCTCAGTGGTCCTATGTGAAGTCATAAATGTTTTCCTTCATGGTTGCCACAACCTATTGGATGTTCATGGAGAAGCTGTATTCTCTGTTACAGCTGTGTCCCTTTGCTTCTCCTTCTGCTTTCATATCTTCCACAGTTGAGACTGGGTATGTTCTTTCAAAGAAATAGCCATGAATATGCATAAATATACTTTTTAAAATGAGCTTTCCTAAACTATTCAGAGTACTTTCTGCCTCTTGAGGAAGGAACTCTTGGGAGAGAGGCCCATCTCTCTGCACAAGCATTTAGCTTGTGCAGATGTCTGCATTTTATAAATGCTTCTTACTAAGAAAACATTTTTAAGTCACTGCTTGTACCAGGTAACTTTTGCGGGGGACGAGAAAGGGTTGGGTGTTTTGGTGGAGAGGGGTGGGTGGGTATTTTTTGTTGATGCTGTACAGCAGGTGTGTTCTGAGGCAGTAACAAGCTGCTATGAAAACGGGATGTGCTGCTGCCTTTTAACTGCATGGAAACTTTTGACATGAGTTTTTCTCTAGGTTAATGCAGAAATGTATAAACTGGGAAATGCAAATGTAGTTTTTAATACATAAAATTAAGTTATTAAAATAACAAAAATTTAATTAATGTAATGCTATATAATTCTAGAATTACCCTTCTTTTACAAACCTTTAAAATACATTTTAGAAATCAAAGTTGATATGCTTTGCTGTCTTCTGATTAATAAAAGCTTTTAAGTCCCACACATTTGGACCATGGCAGCTAGTTTTGTAATTTAAGTATTCATATGAACTACCTATGGACATACATTAAACTAATTGACAAAAATTTCAGAGTGCTGCCTTTACTTTTCTGGGGTTGCCCATAGGAATGTTCTTTCTGTTCAATAAAAGTCAGTCCTGAAATGCCTTTCCTTCAGAAGAGTTGTCCTTGACAATAATTTCTTGGTTGCTACATATTTTTAGAATGTTGTGTATTTTTAGAACCTTATCTGTTATTAATGCACCCCTTCCTGAAGTCCCCCTCGTGAGTTAAGGCACCATTAGAGGATGAAGGAGAATGTTGTTGACTCATACATTGGAAAACCACTAAGCCTTCCATTCTTTTCTGCATAACCTGGACACTCATAAGTGCCAAAACGGGCACTGGACTGGTCGTAAGATAAAGACCTGGCTTTTAGTGCCAGCAACACCAATTACTAATCTTTGATTAGGGCAAATCACTAACCTGCCTGAGTCTCTCTTCTGGTCTTATTTCTAGAAAGTGAGGATAATTATGTTCCCTACCTACCTCACAGGTAGGTAGATACCAAGAGATGATATATGTAAAATCCTCTTGTAAACTTCAGCATTTTAAAAACATAAGCTATCATCTAGGATTGTTCTCCAAGTCATACATTTACTTTACTCTCTTTTGCTTTCCTTTCTTCCAGTGGAAACCAGGCAGATCCTTTCAGAGCTTTCTAACCTTAACTGCAAAATCTGATGGTACTTTGGAGGCGGGGGAATAGTTCAGGATTCTGTTTCCCTAGTAATGGAACCTTTTCCTGTCAAGCACCGGCTGTGAAACTCTTCTTTAGATGGGACTTAGACCAAAGAAAACCATTGGTTGGCATTCTCATTCCACCTGTCCAATAGGAATTGGCACTGTGAAAAAATTTAGAGCAGTGTTGTACAAGGATATATTGGTTTTGGTGGAAGAGGTGAAATACTCTACCCTCCAAGATTCTCTTTCCTTAATGTTCCCGCCTCCCTCATTTTAAACAATTTAAAAGGAGGTGAAAGGGAGGAGACCATTATACCCACAGGAGTGGCTTCTATTACAGACTGCTAAAATAATAGTGAGAAGTGTTAATTTTCTCAGTTTCTGGAGTTTGGTGATCAGCAAAAGATTTGCATTTGGAAGAAAGTTTAATGTTTTTATCTTTGCACAGTTGAATGCCATCTCAGCTCCATTAATTAAATAATAGCAATTTCAGAAGAAAACTAATTTTTTCAGAAAGCAGAACTTTCTACTACTAGCCCACTTTTAATGGATATTACTAGATTTTTACTTTCATCTTTTATAATTAAATATTCTTTTTACTTTTACCTATTTGGTTTTATCTAAATAGTGTAACTTATTTAAAAGACACACAGGCCTTCTTTAAGAACTTATTTCCATAGGAGTTACTCGGAAATCAGGTATTATAGCCATCTTGGTTATTGTATCAACCTTACTTCAGGGAGAACTCTTAACTGCTTTTCTATCACATTTTCAGCTTAAAATGTTTAAGTGCTTTCTTCTGCATCTTTTTCTTGCATATAATTGTATCACATAGCAAGGTTGTAGCAAAGCTAGAAGCCAGTTTTCTGCTTCAGGAAAGAGCCCTGGATTTGTGGCTGGGACCCAAGTGCTGTCCTAGTGTTTTTAACAATTCTGTTCCCTCATCTGTAAGTGGGCATTATCTACTCTTCCTTCTCTAAAATGGCTGTTTAGAGGACATACTAGATTAGATAATATGTACAAAATGCTTTGACATTAAATGCTTTACAAGTTAAATAGTCCTGCTCTACCTGTTAAACTACATATCATAAGCTTTTCTGTCTCATCTGAGTATCCTAGGCAATTAGGTGTCGCGACCCTTCAGGGACCGAAGCAACACGCCCAAGGTCTTGATTCTTCTCTAGGCTTTATTGTCTAATCTCTCGCGGCGGTTACAGCAGTTGTCGGGAAGCTCCTCTCCCTCCCGGTGGGCTCCCTTATATTCAGTCACCCAACCAATCCGGGACAGTATCATGTGTGACCTTTAAGCGGATAGGTGTCACGCGCCACTCTAAGCGGGCAGCACGAGCTGTGCACGGGTACGGAAGTCTGCTGGGCCAATCCCCAACAGGGAAGAGGGGAAAGGGTGGTGAGCAGGAAGCAGGCGCCATCTTTAGGGCGTTGTCCAGCTAGAGTGGGGCTCAGCCTCGGCCGTAGGCCGGTCCCCCACAATTAGGTTTACCTTCCTCAATTTATGTGATTTCAGAAAAGGGCAGTGCACTTAGTTTAACCTGTATGGTGAGAGTCAAAACAGCCAGGAACTTCTCCATCTCCATTTCATTTAAGCTACTTTCAGAAAGCACCAGAAATCCTGGGAGAGTCCCAGTCCTTCCTTATAAGTGAAAAGCATTCAGAAGCTTGTGC